TAAAAACTTAAAGAACTTGCTTACACTCACGAGCGATCAAAGATCAGATTCAATTTCAAATTATATTATTAGAGATTGGCCGAATATTCGTTTTATATTTAGTATTCGGCATATTCGGCAGCTTTACCGAATATTCGTATTCGGCTAAATCACCACACATTCGTTTTCGTAGTGTCCAATATATTGAAATGTACGAATTGGGTAATGTGATGTCTTTTACTGTTGAAGTATATTTTATTTATGGGTTAAATGTACTTACCCTAGAGTGCCTCAAATGCATAAATCTATACATATATATTTTTGAGGCACTCTAGATTTATTTCCGATGATGGCAAATAGAAACTTGATAAAATGTTTTTGGAATCAAACAAAGAAACATTACATTACATTAGTACATTTCACTTTACTTTGGTCGTCAGTTTCTCCAAAATAAGTCCAAATAGTAAATCTTCTGCCGCTCATTTTTATCGTATACTTAATTATCAATTTTCACTAAGAATAAATCAGCGAAATACTTTTTTCTCACCGAAATAGTCAAAACAAGCATGTGCCGGCAATTTGCTCAGTACTAGATGATGCAATAACTCTCAGGGGTGGCGGGGAGCGATAGGCAGGCTCCGACGCTAATCCCGCGCTCTGTATGGTAACAAGTTTCGACATAAATTGGTTAGGTCCCGAGGTTATCCGAATAATGTTCGGTCGAATATTCGGTTCGGTAAAAATTTCACCGAACATTCGGCCGAATATTCGTATTCGGTAAAATCCATATTCGGCCCATCCCTAATTATTCGTTGACATTTTTTGTAGTTTTCGCTCAAAGATTTAGCTTTTTGTTTTTCTCTCTAATTAAGTATATATAGCTATTTTTGACATATGCATTTTATAGTTAATTATTGTGCAGTATTAAATACATCAGACGTAAAACATTCAACATAATTTTTTTTTATTATCTATCTACCTACATATGTTAATTTTATGCCCTATTTTTTTAATAATTGTCCAAGTTACTGTTAGTACAAAAAAGTAGTATAAAAATTGGCGTTTTTATAGAATAAGTTAACGTAATTTTTTTCTATATTTTTTACTTCTATTAATTAAAGTAAACACCTATGCAATCGATGCATCTTCGTAAATGCAGCGGCAGTTTATTGATGGCCTTCAATAAAAGAGCCGTGGTAGCTCAGTGGTTAACGCTCGCTGTAAATATAACAGAACGCCAGTAACCCGGGTTCGATCCCCGCCGGCATCAATGAAATTGTTAATTGCAATTTTAAGTGCTGATTTACCACGTGCTCGGCGGTGAAGGAAAACATCGTGAGGAAACCTGCATGTCTGGGAATAAGAAAAAAATTCAATATTTCGAAGACATGTGAAGTTCGTCAACACGCATTTGGGCAGCGCGGCGGACACTTCCTTGCCCTAACCCTTCTCAGAAATGAGGGGAGGCCTGAGCCCAGCAGTGGGACGTATATAGGCTGTAACTTTACTTTACTTTACTTTACTTCAATAATCAGCTGGACGGCAAGCAACAAATTCTTCGAAGGTATTTTGTACTGCCCCTCGAGTTTTTTTCCCGCCAAAAAGTCATACAAATTCTGGAAAAAGTAGAAGTCGGTAGGCGCAAGGTTAGGTGAGTACGTCGAATGACAGAGAGCTTCCAACCCCAGCTCTTGTAACTTGGAGACCGTCTGATGTGCAGTATGAGGTCGCGCGTTGTCGTGCAGGAGCAGCGAGTTCAAAATTCCTTCGGTTGTGTGCCTTTTTAGCAGTGAAGGGCACGTCTCGATGCGTACTTTGAGCTGGCGATCATTGAGTTCACGGGGCACCCATTTGTCAAGCTTTTTACCTTGCCAATTTGACGTCAATGGACCAATATGGTTTGATGCTAACGTCAAAAGCCGCTGCTAATTCAGTCGTAGATTGAGTATCATCAGCTTTCATAATCGCCTTTAATTCATCATTGTCGACCAAAGTTTTGTAGTAGGTATTCACTTCGTAAACGTCGTTAATGTTGTGTGCCGCTTGTGACACGTTGCTGCCACGACGAATTTTTAACGTAGCCATGATGACGAAAAAGATTCAAATGTGATGAAAACATAACGCTTATCAATAAACAAATGACTAATTTTGAAAAAATCCATGTTTTTATAATAAAATTAATTTGAAATTAGAATTCTTAACCAAAGAAAATTATTTTTCTTATTTTGAAAATTATTTTGAAATAACCAGTACTGCAGGATTGCAATTTCATAGGATAAAGATCCATTATTTTATAAAGTCACAACAGTCTGTTTTTTTAAACGAAATTCTTCAGAAATAGCCGTTTTCTTTTTTAATTTTCTGAATTTGTATTGCATTCTTTTAAAAGTATTTGTCAGCGAAACACATTGCAGATTGCTTTAATGCTGGATATCTCAAAATTTAATAGACGAATTTGGTTTGTGGGAACCAAAAATAAAATCGATGACATTAAAAGCCTAACCCAACCTAATCCTACCATGAATATCTTGGGTTTAATTTGTTCATAAATATCATAACCTCGGTCTCCTAACGATATTTGTCTATAGGGTTGCCACTCGTACTTTATAATAAAATATTATATGTTATTTCGGGAAACGTACTTTTATACTTTATGAGACCAAAATAGTACATGAAAATACTTTATTTCACCTATTTAACGTTTTTAAGATTTTATTTTAATGGTTACTAACAGAACGAATTATATACAGGCAAATATTTTTTATTGTAGTAATGATTTTGTAAATTTATGTATAAAATTATGTGTCATGTCTGGTAGTTATTCCCGCCACTTTAGCGTTAAAACCATTGAAGTAATATGTACGTTATACGTATATAGAACAGCTATTTCAAACAAAAAATATGCGCTACTCTGTATTCGCGCGGTTTGTTTTATCATCATAGAATAAACATAGGTAGAATGATCAGTAGGTAATAGTAGATTGTATTGTTATATAGGTCAATTATATCGAGAACAATTTTTAAATTTTGTCATTGATTTTCTATATTATATTTGCATATTTAATATAATATTACATAATATTATATAACAATTACATTTTAATTATATTTTTATCTCAATATTTTAAAAGTTATCTATGTCAAATATCAAATAAACGTAAAAAGGTATGTTTAACAAAACTTACTAATATAACATTTTAAATTACAAATATATTAGAATATGAGTCGTTCTTAAACTCTAGGCACGCGAGAGTTAAAAATGGACGAATTTATTCAACTTTGACTTTGATATGGAAACCTAAAAATAAAATAAAAGAACAATGAGCAAATTTAAATATAAAAAATTTAGCCTAATTGCGATAACTTATATATGTTTCTACAAAAAAATGTGTATAATAATATATTCGTCCTATACTTAAGTGAGCCATGGTAGCTCAGATGGTTAGCGCTCGCTCTAAATTTCACAGTACGCGAGCAAAGCGGGTTCGATCCCCGCCGGCACCAATGAAATTGTTAATTGCAATTTTAAGTGCTGATTTACCACGTGTGCGGCGGTGAAGGAAAACATCGTGAGGAAACCTGCATGTCTGAGGAATAAGAAAAAAAATATTTCGAAGACACGTGAAGTTCGCCAAACGCATTGGGGCAGCGCGGCGGACACTTCCTTGCCCTAAAACCCTCTCAGAAATGAGGGGAGGCCTGTGGGACGTATATGGGCTGTAACTTTACTTACTTTTTACTTTATACTTAAGTACCCACAGAAATATCGCATCTGAACAAATTAATTTCATAATCTATATTCCATGACACGAAATGGCGTCTTAGGAATAATTTGTTTTATTATTAAACTACACTACTTTTTTATTGATTAAGTATCTTATTAACCGATGAAAAGTAATTAATTGGTTTTTACTGACATTTCTTGAATTATTTGTGCAATATCTAAGTACACATGACGGTATATTTTTATCAAGAGATCAACACAACACATGGCAACTCTACAAGCGCCTAGCGAGTGACTCATTAAAGTGCGGTGTATGCGCCGCAGTTGAGTGGAACAGAGTAGCTGAATGCAGTGTCGCCACTAGTACGTAGTATATAATAGCTCAATGGTTAAAACACAGGAGCAAATAAATTATAGTTTTTTTTTTCACTTCTTGTACTTAATTCTTTAGCTTAGAAAAGTATATATAGGTACTTCATTACTAAAAAAAATAGTTTAGAAAAAAACGTTCCTACGTTTATACGTAAGCGAAGAGTTCCGAATTAAGCGTCGTGAACTCCTTCCTCTTTAAATATAACCATTGCAAGCATTGTAGTATAGGGGAATTGCCTTTATTTTGAAATGTTTGCAAAGACTAGTACTGACTGCTTCTCAGTTATAATACAAAACCAGTTGCCTCATTGATGCGTCGTCATGAGATAATTCCAGCAGCCTTCTACGTACAATTCCATGCAAAGTTGATTGCCTGATTGAAATACATTGGAATTTTATACACATGGGCATCCCATGACCCGTAATTTTTAATGTTAAATGACAATAAAATGTTTTAGTCTTGTTAAATGATTATTTTTCTGTTAGTGTTGTGTTTATTTCTAACTATGGGTAGTAAATATCTGAAATAAATAAATAATAATTATTATTATTATTTTAAGAAATCTCTTGCCAAAGTCAGTACAAAACGCTTGTGCTCGCTTTTGTTTTGAAATGCTTCCCAGATCTTATGTAATGGCCCTGTTTAAATAAATTGAATCATGTGCTTTAACGTAACGTAACGAGGTATAATATATATGTTAATCCTATTTATTTTTACAGTTTTCTATAAACCCCGCTGAGTCGTATACGCCGGTTGCTTGCGCCGGCAGTTGTTGACAGCAGCGTGACAGCGTGTGTAAATGCGCCGCCGTGGTTGTTAGGCTCTGTCCACACTACGATATTTCACAGCGTGGTACTGCCACGTATAAAATTGTGTGTTAAATACGAGTATTTTGTTCGAGCTGGCCTTAAAGCATGCACTGACCTGAGCAGGCAGGTGAGCTGCAGGTCGTTCTGGTAGCGTGCGAGTGCGGGCGCGCCCTCCACGCGCACGGCGTTCACCTTGTCGCGCAGGGCGCCGCCGCAGCCGCCGCAGCGCTCGCGCAGGATCGACATGATGTTCGCCTGCCGCAGGAACGCCACCACCTGTCGGCCGGACAACTCCTTCTTAACTCGCAACCCATACACTACTAGACGAGCACTACTGTACTACTGTTGAATATAGGCCCTCCTATAGATTGTTTCATAGAGGGGATACTTGCCACGCTTGGCAACCGCAGTTTTCATTTTTAGTCGTTATTAACGTTGTTTTCAACTATAGAATACTGTGATACATACATAATAGAACGGGGCAGTGGGCGGAGCCCGTGTAGCCACTAAAATGCCACTAACACGTCAATTCACACGTATAAATGTCAACACGAGATGTGTTTTGGCGTTAAAATCATCAATCATCATCATCAACTACGCCGCGCCGACTGTCTCTTTCTCTTCATCCGTCTTACGCATTTTCGATCAGGGTCACGTGTCCTGACGCGAGTTTAACATTTTTCACCTATTACTAAAAAAAGTGTACAACGCCGCTAAAGAAGTTTTCACTTCAAAAATATTTTATTGAATATCTATATTTTTATTTAAATAGTTACGAACTTTATTTTGTGCAATTTTCTTTTGTATTTTCCTTAAATAATACCAAACGTCATTATCGTGTCATAAAAACTGACGTTTACAGAGTGAAGTTTCCAGAAACCGTATACTATGCTTAGTAATTCACATAAAGATATTATAATTGTACATAAATAAAAAAAACTCGCATAGAAATTTATTACCTTGTCATTATACGCAACAGGTACTTCTTGATGAGAATTGTGCGCGTGCGCATCGGATGTCGTGAGGGGCGGCCGTGGGGGTGGAGTTGGCGCCTGAATACAGACATTAACGTAAGAAATTAATCAATTTAAAAAACAAGTTTGTAAAAATACATTTTGAATAAAACTACTTTTGCAGATTTTATCGTTATGATTTATTAAATTTACGCGAACACTACATATTGAATAAAACTACATTTACGGATTCTGTCGCGTTTAATTTACTTATTTTAACTTATTTTTAAGTCCCGACGTTTCGGGTGCTTTACATCACCCATGGTCACGGGAGAGACTTTTTATTCAAGATTTTATCATTTTTAATTTGCTTAATTTTAAAACCCGACATTTCGGGTACTTTAAAGCACCCATGGCGTGACGTGGTAATTCACGCCCCGTTGTCAGAGTTAACCCGAAGTACCTTCAGCTTTTTAATTATTACGTTTGGTCCGATCTACGTAGAATGAACTTACTGTGTCTTGAAGTCTTGCAGTTGTATGCTTGGATTTATTTTTAATGTTATTAACTACAGGATCCTAAGCAGGTGGTAGTACCCAGCCTCCTTCTCTATTGAAATTGGGATGTATTTAATTTCAATAGCCTCACGTATCATCTTTGGCAGGAATCGATGTTCTTTCACCAGGATTTGTGGTCTATCAAATCTGATGTATTGGCGGGGGCCGTCTAGGATATGATCACACACTGCTGACTTCCGGGAACGTTAGTGTTTCAAGTGAGCTATATGCAACTATGGATGCTGGAAAACATCCCAAACATCGGGTATTAAAATTAAGCAAATTAAACGCGATATAATCCGTAAAAGTAGTTTTATTCAATGTGTAATGTTTGCGTAAATTTAAGAAATAAAAATAAATTTATTACAAAACTAATAAAAAATGATAGTACACACAATTAGCAAAATAAAAGATAGAATATAAACTTTAAGATGAAACAGTGTCTTAAATCTTCATATTATATCATACAAATGTGTGAATTTAAAGTCAACTTCAATGAATGTAAATAAGACAAAAATATTCTTATCGCAATCTTGAAAATTACATACATGCATGTATGCACGGATCTTTAGACCTGGCCTTCTTTACGATCAATAGATGACTTTTAGGCCTGTCTGTTCACTATTCCAATTTGGTAAAAACACCATAAGCATTCCTTGTAAACATTCATGCAATTTTTTATATTAAAAGCTGCGAAAACATCCCCACTGCAAGTGTCCCAGACCCAAAATACATGGCGTCTATTATACATACTGCTATTACTAACTTACATTACTTTTTGTACTTTTACTTTACACATTGTTCACTCTCAATTACATTCAACTAGCTACTATTTCTTGAAAGGGTTTCTATATATTCAGAAAGAATGACACTTTTCATTTATTTTTAGCATATCTAAAAATACAATAACCATGCAATTACTAAAAAAAACTGCCAAATGTAGCTATGGATAACACAAAACACGTAAAATTAAACAAAATCGAACAACACATGCATAAAGTATAAATGTTCCCAAACTTATATAACAGATATAATAAAATCTAATAATTGTAAAATCAAAATATATAAAAGACACACATAAACACATAAGTAAATCATCAATCAAACAATAACACACAAGAAAAATCGGATTACTAATTAACAAAACACTAACGGCCTTACATATAATCGATTAAAACCGTTTACTTGAGTATTAATTATCTCTATTCCTGTCTCATTTTTTTAATCATTTCGTGAAAGAGAGAGAGCAACTTTAAGCATATCTTATATTGGCGTCCATTTTTATGAGTAAGGCCGAAAATATATTGTCACTTCACATACATTGCGTCCACGCTTTTAGTTGTTGAAAAGGATTTCGACTCTAATCCTTGATACTTAGAACTAATGATAAGAAAACATTTATTTATTAAAATAAGAGCTCAATTCCACTACTTAACGAGGTATATGTTACCAATATCTAATAACAAGTATATATAGTAAGCGTCCATTTTGTCCATTTCAACAACCTATTAAAACATTTTTATTGGTGTTTAATGAAGCTATATACCCTATATAGCTTCATTAAACACCAATAAAAGTTATATTAATTATATACCCTATATAGGCATAGTAATTCTTGTAAACATTAAGATATATGTTAAAACAGCGCGTCTGTCAAGACATTATCAGGAAGCTATATAACAGTGAAACGAATTTTACTGCAAATTTCATGTTGCTAGACTTACGAATTTTTATCTTTAAGGCATATAGGTAACGACAAATATCAAAAGAGATTCAATGAAGAAAAGGTAAGCATTATTATATCTGATGGTGTCAACTGATAATACCTTATAAGTACAACTGTAAATTATATATTTATAAATTATTTACTTAAAACTCATAATAGGGTAATTTTTAAGTATTTTTTCTTTACTAAATATCATAAAGGTATGGAAGTGGTCGCAAGTGCTATTACTGTGTGAGCAGGGGATTTTAAAATTATAAAACATTCTGTACTTTAAAGCTGCAGATCGGAACACAGTATTTCATGTACTTGACAATAGATATTTTTTTTAGGGAAAATAAATAATCTTTTTTGAACTTAAATACACTTCAGAGTTACAATAAATAGTGAATAACACTTACGAAGGAAAGAAGTAAAATTGTACCTTAACAAAATATACAGGTTATTTAAGACCACAAAAGAGGGCAGTATTGGATTCTTAATATTTTTTTATAGAAGAGGGAGCAAACGAGCGTGCGGCTCACCTGATGGTAAGTGACTACCGCCGTCCCATGAACAACCGCAACACTAGGGGAATATTGCAGATGCGTTGCCGACCTTTTAAAAAGGAGTAAGCTCTTTTCTTTAAGGTCCTTAAGTCATATCGATCCGGAATAATCGCCGGTGGTAAACAATTTATTGGTTTATTTAGATTGGCAGCTAATTTATTAATAAAATTGAAATGAAATAAAATAAATCGTCGAGGTTCGAAATAAACAATCAGGATTTCTATCACGCAGTATTTTAAGAGAAGAAAAAGCAGCATTTTAAGAGCGTGGAGCAATGTATGCGCGTTGCGTGGGTGCGAGTGTATCGTGCCTGCGACGCGTGCGGTGCGTGCTGTGCGCGTCGGCGCGCCGGCAGCAACGGCGAGAAGGGCCCGGCCGGCACGCGGCCCGCGCGCGGCGCACGCGGCAGCCGCGGGTCCATGAACGTCGTGCGCCGCACCACGTGGTCCACGAAGAACCGCTGCGCACGCACGCACCGTTACAACTCGCACACGTCGCACACGTTACGTGTCAACTCTAACTTTAACATTTTCTTTTTGAAGCGAAACTTCGTTATCGACATAGGGGACAAATTTTGTATCGTGTTAAAGAAAACGTCACGTTTTCTTGTAACGTTTCACCGCCTGGGCTGTATACTATTGTTTAACCTACTTAAGTAAAATATAAAATAAAAGAAGAACGATACGTCCTAAAGAAGTTTAACTACGTGTGCATAAACTTACACGTACAATTTTTTTTTAATAGAACGAGCATGACAAACGAGCACTCAGTCCACCTGATGGGAAGTGGATATTGTCGCCCACGAACATCTACATTCACTAAATGAAACTAATTTTAATTATTTTATCCCGTTTAATATTGACTTTTTTTAAATCTACGATTTTTCGGATACTTTACAGCACCCATGGTCACGGGGGAACTGAGGTGTTTGACGTCCCGATGTCATAGTTACCCCGGATATCTTCAGTTTTATAATATTAAATTTAAGTCCAATCTACGCAGCTTTTAGAATAGATATTAAGTTTTAGTTTTGGTCAGAAACATCGGGACGTCAAACAACTCAGTCCCCTCGTGACCATGGATGCTATAAAGCACCGACACGTCGAGAATCAAAAAAAAACTCCAAATAAAGACAATAAAATCCGTAAAATTGGTTTCATTTAATGTGTAGTATTCGCATAATAAGAAATCATTATCTACATTTATCCTCAATTGACAATCAAAATAAAGTTGCGTTATCATCCTTCAGAAACTAAAACGAAATGCCTCGTACCATAGAATACTATAATACATACATAATAGAACGGGGGAGTGGGCGGAGCCCGTGCAGCCACCAAAATGTCACTAACATGTCGATTCACACTTATAACTGTCAACACGAGATGTTGACGTTACAATCGTTTCCAAATTATGCATGCAAATTACTTAGAAAATCCCAAATTGCACACTATTTACGAATAAATATGTATTAAAATTTAAACGATTTTTTTAATGATGATCTTGAACATTAATCAAAAGTCTAAAATGTTTAAATTTACTTAGTCTGTCAACACAGCGAATCGGGTTTGTAGTAGTGATAATACGACGTAATTGCTTATATGTGTGCTCCCGGCGACGCCGACTCTCGTACAAAATAAGGTTAACAGCCATTCTATTGTGTATTATAATATTCTGTGCCACGTACTCAATAAAAAAGTTCTCCAGTTCTCTACATTAAACATAATATGAAACACAACAGCATTGATTGAGCTGCTGTTTTATGTTGGTATTCTGTGAGCACGCGGCCCTTTCCCGGCCGAGCCGACTTAATCGTGCTACAACCATAATATAGCTGCAACATGCAACTACAACGTAAAAAGAAGATTGGGAGATTTAGGCACTTGCAGCTTGAGCTAGCAGATAGCCGGTCATGAAAGTGTCTCAAGTTCTTAACGGACATAATAACTTGAGGTTTATATCAACATCAGTGATCTTGTGTCGACGTTTTCTTAAAAATTAAATTTCTTTTACGACATAAAAATAATTAGACCTTAAAGTTAAAATCTCCTTCAAACCAGTATATACACAACGAAACAAGTTCCCGCCAAAACTCAAAAAAGGTATTTTACAGTTTGTCCTTACTCCTTCCCAGCTCCTTAAAACTTTACAAGTCCCTAAAACACATGATCCAACTAGTACCGCTGCAATTCTTTTTGCTGTCCTATTACAACAATAGTGATACGGTTATTTCAATCAAACGAACATCCAAGCACATAAACCATATACACTTGTAATTGTGTGAACATCGACCTGTACTACAAATGACACGTTGCTTATTTAAAATCAAAGGCAAAATTATTATTTCAATCAAATGAAAATCAAGTTTTTATAAATTACATGTCCATAGCATTACAAATATCATACATATACGTTACGTGTATTAAATAAAGTTCATAGTCAAAAATAATGAATAGTTTGGTCTTGTTCTTATAATAAGTAAAACGATATTCCGGTGGCGTATAGTCTTTACAAACTTATTCCTCTATTTTCTCCCTGAATTATGAAACTAGAGTTTATACTTTTTTTACAATACAATCGACATCTGGTCATGCCGTGTTTTGTTTGTTTCTAAAATGTTTATGTTTATTTTAATTTTAAAAACCAGAAACCTAAAAGTACAGAAACTCTCCAATTATACCGCCGTTGTAAGCCATTCAGCAAAAAAAGTAAACAAACATTAAAAATGAAAGAAAATATACAGACATAAGGTTACCGAACACTACCGAGCCGACCGCGTTGAACGAAAAGAATTTTAAAGTTCTTCTTATGAAATCATATGAAGCCTCGCACACTTGCCCGCGCCGAATCTTATGATTCTGGAAGGTTATTTAGAAATCCTAGATGGGTTGGGAGACGTCATCAAATTGGTGCGGGCGATACGGTCGAATCATAATAAAACAACGTGCGAGTACAACTTCTTCATTCAAAAAAAATATAAGTGATTCTATTTTAATCGAATTAGTACTTTCTTCATCTTCCATTAATAAACACTGGCAATAAAAATCTCGTCAAAATCCATTATAATGCACATGTAATTACAGTGCGACAGGTATAAAGGAAATGGAAACGATTTTTTCGTTGCGGTCGATTCTTTCCGTGATTCCGTGATGTGAGTAGAATAGGACGCATCGAACGATCGATCGATTTTTTCGATGCGTCCGGCTCGAATAAGTGTGCAGTCAGCTTGGTCACAGTATTTCTTCTAGCGGTTCTTTAAAAAAATCGGTCCAATTCAGGGTAAAACAGGACGATAATTTTGTGATTTTTTCATAGGTATCAGACATAATCAGTTCAAGCTGCAGATGTCTCCCTCGATTACCTAGCTTAGTCGTTCGGATACAGCGCGTCAAAAATGCATCATTCAATACCTATTTTTCAAATTTATTGTAGCGCAGATATCCTCTTAGCGATCCTATGAACATTTAATATCCGCCAACAATGTAAAATATACCACATAGCCGCTGTGTGTCCGCTCCATTATAATTGTGATTCTTTAACCAGAATATTGTCTGTGATTGTGATAGACGTCGTCTTTGGACGTCGTGTGTGTTGAGTTGAGTATATGGAATAAGAACATACATATGCTCGTGCATACTCTAATGCTCTTAAAGCTCTTAAAAACGTCAAAGGTAAATGAACCACATTAGTAATTCCATTTCTATTGAAACTAAGGATGTTGCCCCGCAGCGCCGCTCAAACGCTTTGGTACAGTAACAGGTATGTAAACTGAAACTTTTGATCACTAAGCTCGTATTAGTAAGAAAAAAATCGCTTGAGATGCCACTGAACCTTGGTTTCACTGTAATAGGATCGCGTTGACATTAATTTTCTGCATAGCGTAACCCACCTTCCCGTTGCGATCCAACTTGGTGTCCCAGCCGAGTGGCAGTTCACGGTCCTCCTCGGCGAACATGTTGACGAGCGCCACCAGGTCGCGGTTGTGCTGGTATCGCTCGAACGACGACGTGTCGCGCCGGATCTTGGAGATCATGTGCTTTAGTGTCGAGTTGCCGTTGTACAGCGCCGATGCCTCCTGCAACGGAAAAAGAATTGTTTTAGAAGCGGTAACTTCTTTTGAATCTGTTGCGGACGGCGAAGAGATGATCGTCCATCGCCCCGCACCGCACCCGCGTCGACACGTCCCCCGCACCCCGCATCAGAACAAGGGCCCCGCAAGGACAAACGCTCGCAACAACTCGGTGCCTACGTCACACCGAATCCAGAAATAAAGGTAGCGCTCCTGGCGAGGTACCGTCATTCGTGCGAATTCGTGCGGCTACGGCAGAAGAACAAGCAAGAAAGAAGCTCTCAAGATCTTTATTAGGTTTTAGTGTTAACTGCCGCACAATCAGCTGTAAATAGTGATTAAATTAAACTTCTTTGATTTCAACTCAACCCCTTGCATTTTAAAATAGCAATTTTCGTTTAAAAGTAATTAGTCAGACAGATGTCACAGTAATAGTTCAGTAGTTCAGTTTTATCCCTAGCAATAAATAAATACAGTCCACTAGCTCTCATCCCCTACAGAATCGTTGCGGTTTAAAACTACCACACAAAAAGAGACAAATATACGTCTATAGAATTTATATTGCGAGAGAATGAGATAGAATATTATTATATTATATTAAATAAGTCGTATTTAGGCCATTTAGCGTCTATTTAACGTACTACCTTGGGAGTCAATCAATTTTAGTGCAATAAAATGAATGTGTATAAAATGAAAGAGTGAAGTAGATGGCACTATTACAAAAGTAATTTTACTCGCAATTTTCTGAAGATTTCAAATCTACCGCGTTTCTTTATGGAATAAGGGTGACAAGCGAGCACACAGTCCACCTGATGATAAATAGATGCTGTAGCCTATAGAAATCTTCATCTATGATCAATTAAAACACAAGACGTAGATGCGCTGTCACCCCCAAAGACTAAGATGGAATTCCTCGTATTCAGTCAAAAATGTCTCCGGTTCTCGTCACACACCACACCAAACGAAACAGCACCGCACAATTAAGCATCGGCTTCCGTTACAGCGCAGTCAACCGATAAGTGGGTTCTACCTTTATCCTCAACTAACAAATCAAAACAGATGCGTTGCCAACTCATAAGACTAAGATAGAGTGCCTCGTTACCAGTAATGGAGTCTTCAGTTTCCGTCACTAATACGAAACCCAGCGACATTACGACTATTATTTTATGCTGGAATGTATGATTGGTCCTCATCGATCGATCCGATTACCATAGTACACGACCACTAACTGAAGTATTACTTACACACAGAAGATAAAAAAAACGGCCCAAAATTTAAAAAACAATATACGTAAATTTACGAAAATAAAATAATTTTGTAGGTAATTATAATTTGCATGCAATAATAAATGATAATTTTAAGAGCAACATTAAATAAATACATCGTTTGAGTAATGTATTATAAGATATGAAAAAAAGAGAAATTAAAGAGCAAAGAAGGATAAAGGAGCGTATTTAGCTTGGACTGTATAGTCTGTTTGGTTAGGTAAGGTCAGCTTTGTGTCGCACCGCTATGGCACGTGCCGCATCTTGTCTAAGGCGCCGCCGCGACATTAAAGGTCGCCGCGTGCGGCGTACACCCGCAGAAGAATTTGGCATATTAAATCGAATCGCCGTGCGGTATTCAAAAGTCATTTGCTACCTAACTTGTGTTTATTATATATATACATATTTTATTACAAAAACCATAAGCGTAAATTAGTACTCTATTTTATTCTTAGAATAGAAAAAGATTTATTTAAGGAACAGTAAAAATAATACCGACAATATCTTAGTGAACAGACTATGGTACCGTTGTCCCATTTGTTTCTAAACAAAAGAATTCGTGTTCAGAAACAAATGGTTTTAGTTTAGGTGTTAGAATTTCATACAATATTATTACTATTATCTAATATATATTCAGTGCTATTACTATCAAGCTGACGAGGGCCATGCTACGTACCTCGTTCATATGTAGTATCGAGTAGAAATCCGGGCGCGCGAGGAACTCTGCGGCGGGGTGCGGCGCGGCGGGCGGCGGCGGGGAATGCGAGGGCGCGGCGGGGTCTGCCGCGGGGGGCGCGGGGGAAGCCGCGGAAGGTACAGGGGAGCCAGCAAGGGGCACAGGGGTGCCGGCGGGGGGCGCATGCGACGGGCCCGCCGGCGCGCCCGCCTCGTCACCCAGCTGCGTGCGCGTCATCGTGCGTCGGATCGATTGGTATCTGTCGGACGAGCACACGCCGGGTGGTCTTACTTAAAGCAAAACATGTGGGTCCATAAAGCCATCTTATAATTACCATGATGCAAAACAAATTATAAAAGTCTACTGCTAAACATAGGCCGCCTCCCCCACAAATTGCCTCATAGAGGGAGTTTGCCCTAGTCTTTTTTATTATTTTTTGAGTAGTTATCGGGAAGATGCTGCCGCCTGCCCATTCGCCTCTTATACACCCACGGGACGATATGAGGTACAAATATTAAATATAGCTACTTACAGCACTACTACACGGTAGCAACGTTGAATAAATAAAAACCCTTATTCAATATGAATTTTACATAATTCTTATTGAAAATAATTTTTCAATAATTATTAAAAAAAAAAATGTCGTTGCAAATTTATCTCCAACAGCTGATCATTCAAAAGTGGAAGCAGGGAGTACCGTAGCATGGGCTATCCTAGTTTGGGCTTCCACCCCCCCTTAAATTTACGTACCTTTTCGTGAATACTTTAAAAAATGTTGGTACAAATAAGCTATCTAATGTATAGTAAGTACATTGTGGGAAAATTAAATAAATTAAATTTCATTTCATTTTTAACTTTTACCACCGGTGCGGCAAAAATCCTCTGTCCTAAGAAGAATTAGCAAGAAATACGGAAGAGCTTTTTAGGCGAATAACATACGGAATATCATCATCATTACAGGCTATCAAAAATCTTCTGCCGAACATAGGATTCCCCCACATATTGCCTTATTATTTTATTCCTCATATTTAATTGCTAATCGCAGTTTTTTATTACCCATCTTCGGTTCCAATTCCTTTGCATGATATTATGCGGTAGTGGATAGTCTTACACCGCGACTATATAAGATTTGCCAATAATACACATTGATCCTAACCTGTCATGATCCTGGTAAAAATATCAGGTCATACTCATGAAATAATTGTATTGTCATCAGTTACTAAAACGTCTACAAAATTTCAGATTATTTTCGTAATTTAGATTTAGATTTCATAATTTTTATAAGATTTTCATACATACAAACACATCACATACACACATACATGCAAACACACATATACGGGTCACGTTAATCGTTAATGAAAGTGTGTCAAAAATAATATAATATAAGTACGTTATTCGAAACTGAAGTCATAAAGTCATGAATATAATAGCAAGTTCTTTATTAATTGTATGCTAGAAGCGGGATATGTACCCGTTTATGTATGCATGATGTAAGTGTGTCACAAATAATGAGAGGCAATCGCCAAGATTAGCCCGCGACTTGGCGATCGCAGCACCAGACGTCTCGCACATTTGCCTTTGCTCCCAGTTGTAAGTTTGTGCATTTTACATTTGACAATAACGAATTCATTATACCGCCATCTATCGGTATCCACAAGAATTTTGACAAGAGTCTTTCACTGGCTTTGATAGCTGATTTCGTAAGGAGTAACTTAGGCTACTTTTATTTTAGAAAAACATTTAGGGTTCTGCGCAATTAAATCAAAACCCATGAAATCCAACCGAAATAAATTCCACCCGAACGAAGTCGCGGGGAACAGTTAGTGCACAATATAATGTTACTACGGGCGATTTTAATTCCATTTGGCATTCTCTACCAGTCGACCCGTATGAAAAACATTATACATAAAAATCAATACCTCCTGTCGAGTTGCCTCCTCTGCACCTCGGGTGCTGGGGAGCGAGAAGCGGTCCCGTTCGCACAGGGCCGCGACCAAGTAGTCGTCCTGTTGATATGGTCAATGTAAAACACGCGTCCATGACTGTCCATACGCGCTTCCCAGCCTGCAAAATGATAAAGCCTAAATTAATCGATTATATTCTGCAGTTTTCGATCATATCCTAGATGGCCCCAACCATAACATCAAATTTGATAGACCACAAATCCTCGAGAAGGAACATCGATTCCTACCAAGGATGATACGTGAGGCTATTGAAATTTAAAAAAAACATCCTAATTTCAATAGAGAAGGATGCTGGGTATTACCACTGCTTGGGACCCTATAATTAATAAAATTAAAACTAAACCCAAGCATACCACTGCAAGACTTCAAAACACAGTTAGTTAATTCTGCGTAGATCGGACCAAAGACAATAATTAAAAAGCTAAAGGTACTCCGTGTTAACTTTGACATCGGGACGTCAGTCACCTCAGTCCCCCGTGCTGGAAAGCACCCGAAACGTCGGGTATTAAAAATAAAATAAAAATTATTTTAATTCCAATATTAAATAAACAAAAAAAAAAAAAAGGGGGGTTAAAATTTTAAAATATATTATTCCAAAAATGGAAAAAAACCATCATCTCTAATTATTTATTTTTATATAATTTAATTAATAAATAAAAAACCAAAAACCCCAAAAAAAAAAAAAAAAAAAAAAAAAAAAAAAAAAAAAAAAAAAAAGAAAAACCCCACCCCCCACAAACCCCCCCGACCCCGGGCAACACAAAAAAAAATAAACGCGATAAAATCCTTAAAAGTAGTTTTAATCAATATATATATATATATATAAAAAAAAAAAAAAAATAATAGATTACATTTGCACTGGTAAACAAAGTATAAAGGTTTAGTAAGTAATGTCGATGGAAGTAGGGGGCTCAAGGCAGTGTTTTCTGGCATTCGTTGGTCAAGGCCTATGTTTAGCTATTGCTATTTTAAGTTAAAATTATTTTCTTTTCTGTGTTTAATAAATTAAAATTAAAAAAATACTAGACACGTTTAAGTTCCACGAAATAGTTATTTACTTTGAAAAAAAATACACAAAAGAAAAATCGACAATATAGTGTTTATGTTGATGGCTCCGTGGTGCAATGACTACGAGCGGTGCAGGGCCGTGGGTTCCAATTCCGCACGTAACAAGTGTTTGTATCTCTACAAATAATTGTTCCTTGTCTGGTTCATGTGGAATAATTTTATTTAAAACGCCTACACGATACAGGAGAAAACCCTAGTATGGGGTCTGTTTTTTTTTTAAAGAAAGAAAGAAAATGAAAATACACACCTGCAGGCAAGGGTTCCTCACACTCGATGATCCCACCAATCATATTAGCTGGAAAATCACCCGTTAATGCCATTTGTCTTGAAGCACGTTCTGGTATGGATGGTAACCTGATTCCAGCCATATGCCTTAAAGGCATCGGAGATGCAACGGCATTGTCATTATCATCGTTGTCATCAGACGGTGGCCTCCGGAGCACTACATCGTCAGGAGGCCCAGCATGCACTATCGTGAAGTGATTGCTGTTTACAAACTCAAGGTTAGGAGATCTAATCTCCGACGTTCTTAGCTCACTCGTAAATTCCACCATCTCGAAGTTCTCAGAGTTCTGTATCGGTGGGGGGTGCAAATCTTGTGGCGGAATAGGCCTTGGCCTTCTAGCGTGATGGGTGGGTGTCGGTGGACATTGAGGTGTTGCAGTTCCCGCCAAAGCCGCTACTCTTGACAGCACTCTTGGATGCGGTCTCATTGGACTTTCAGTGTTATTAGTAGTTTTATGAGGCGAGTGCTTAGGCGTGCTTTCGCAGCCAAGATTCTTAAGCAGATGTCGAGGTAGACTAGAATGTTTGGGCGTTGAATTGTCACATGAGTATTTTCGATTCATAATCATCGTACCCACGCTTGGAAATGGTTTGCTGATTTCATCAACAGGAGAAGCTGAATGTGAAGAGTTGCAGGAACTAGGGGCATTTGAACTATTATCTATCTGTCTATTTGAACCATCAATATGTGAAGAGTTTAAAAAAGCAGTCATCATGGTCGGTGTACTAGCGCGGCCAGAGCTTTGTCGAGTAAGCGGCCTATGTCCTTTCATAATAGTTATCTCTTTCTCTTCGATTTGATTTCTATTGTCGTCTTCGAATTCCGAATGATTACTGATATCGTTCAAAAACGTATTTTGAGCTTTTTCTTCAGACTTGGCATAGTTTGGCGTCGGATTTAATCCATCTACAGCATCAGCCACAACATTTGTCTTGTCTTTTCGAGCAAACGTTGTTGATATATAATTATCAGGCCCAATATCCTTAATTAACAACATTTTATTTCTACTTACACTAGACGAACCATCAGGTACATCATCTGTTCTTTTATCCTCTTTTAATTTAGATAATTTCATGGAAGAAATTGTGGATTCACATAAGCTGCCATCAGTCTCAGGTGTCGCTAAAGGAGCTGCATTTTGGCCATCCCTCCAAAAACTTGTTGACGTGGACATAGCTACATGATTACCAGAGAAAAACTCTCCTGGCTTGAAGTCATATATTCCTCCTTGTAAGGCTGACGAACGGTTAATGTTTTTATCTGTGAAAAATTGTTCGTCTGTGTCTATTAATTCAAAAGTGAATGCGTCTTCGGGTTTTGTAAATTTTTTTGGCTTTCTATGTCTCGGTACCTGCGGCGGAGACAATGCGTGCTTTCTCTCCAGTGGTTTATGCGATTGTCTCGGTGGTAAAGGAGGTACCGGAGACTTTTCCGCTTCATTTGGCACATTAGCACCTTCCACGTCATATACGAATTTCATTATTTTGCAAGGATTCTTTGGCGACCAAATTTTGTAATACTCGGTGTCTGGCGAAGTAGGCGAATCGAATCCGCTATTAGTTTTCGATTTCTTCTTTACACCATTTAAAGCTAATCCGCCGCCTGTGTCGACAGGTGGTGGATATTTTTTCTTTACTCCCGAAGAGGTAGGCTTATTTTCTGCGGAACATAGAGATTCACTATTTACAGATTGAGATTCATTGCTTATGTTACTATTAAGAGATTTTCTAGGATCACATTTTGTTTGTTGGAGTTCATTGGCGCTACTTGCTAAAGCGCTAATTGAGCATTTGTTAACATTCTCGCTGAGATGCTTGATGTCTTGACTGGTGCCTGATACGTGCTCCACTCTTGGTGTATTCTCGGAATTCATTTCAAAACTCTCGTTGTTATACGAGAATGGTGACACTTGGCCACCACTGCGTTTCCTTGAAATGCCTTCTTTAAGGCGAAGGGGCAGCTTCTTGAGATCGACTTTAAAGCGTGGAGGTAGTGTAGAAGACTCCGCAACGCAGTCGTCGCCTTCGCCATTGTAATACCGGAAGCAGAGCAGCTGCTCGCAATCTGAAACGCAGAGATATAATTAAATTAGTGTCAAACTGTCATCATATATTTCTCGGGCAAATAACTAAAGCCATACGCTTCTTACGCATTATTGTTAGATGCAAGTACTACGTAATTACCTTCATAAGGCTGATTGGGCTCGTCCAGAAGCCACATTATGTCGCCGGTGGCACATCCGGTCGCCGGCACGCGCCCGGCGACGCCAACGATGCCCGCCGACTCTTTAACAAACATTTGAGCTTATTATTAAAACAATTACAAACATAATTTGGTCTAATAATTATCACCTCTATGAAGGAATCTATAAGGGTGGCCCATGTTCAGCAGTGGACTTCTGATAGGCTGTAACGATGATATTGAATGTAATTAAGAAGAATATCAAGAAAGGCAAAAATTTAGGATACCCTGTTCCAAAAACACCACTCCCTAACGACATAATACGACTAATAGTGCCTAAAGTAATAATATCGATTAAAATTTGTCTGGACCTAATTTAGGATTTAGAAAAAAATGTAAAAAAAATAATTCCACACTGTAAAAATATCAAAAGTCGTACACATAACCCGCATTAAGCGTTTCATAAAAAATTACTAAAACATGACGAAACCGATAAAACTTAAAAGATAAATACATAAAAGAGGGCACGATCGATATTTACGACGGCGAAAGTTCTACTAAAATATGACTCGAAAATCGAAACGAAAATCATTTTGAACCGCCCGGTAAGATGAAAAACAAAGCACTCGACAGGTGCAAAATACTTAAACAAAAACAAACAAGTATGCCGCGCAGAAACAGGGCAAGGCGAACCCTTCCGTTTTTTATCTAACAAAAATTGGTGCGTAGGACGGCTGTGTTCGGCGCAAGCGCATCACAAATTATACCGTAGACGTAATCACCGGATGCGGGAGTCGCCCGCACATTTTACGCAAAATAATCGGAGCCACTGAATTGCCAGTTAATTGGGGAAACATGGTCATAAATTGCGCGCTGCCAAATTGATTCCTCCGCTGGATTATCAGAAACCAGCCGGCTATTACCATATTTTGATTGGATTAATATATAAGCATACGCTAAACGTCTTCCCGCAGTTGATTAAGTATTCGGTGTGATCGTAAATACGGAATGTGGTGACGTTGACGTCAAACGCGCGAGTTCACGTTCCGCCGTGGAAACGATCCAAGGAATAAAATATATTTACGGCTCCCGTTGCGGATATGTAAGGACACACGGTGCGAAGATTCGAAGAGGATAAATTGCAGAATTATCTCAATTCCATTTCCGCTCGGATATAATTACAACCACGGAGCACTGGTAGTGATCGATTGCTCCCATTACTTTTTTGTTTCTTGTATTTGTTTTCCATCGTCGGATCTGAGACATTGGTCTCTGTTTGAATACGAATGCGATTTGGATATTATTTAATGAATCTCATTTCCGTTGCCTCGCGATGAATGTGAGGGTTTAAAGACGAGTGTTTTAACTGCTAATGACAAAGTGGAGATATATTAGGTAAAATCTTAATAACACCAACACTGTAAATTTTTAAGAGAGGTCTTCTCGATTTTAAGAGAGTCTTTATTAGCATCTTATTGAGATTGGAAAGTTGATAAAATTCAATTCACTAAAATAAAAACGAAAGTTCTAAGTCTGGCCAACCAACTTACCTCGATAAAATTAACCCCCGGCAATGCGTTGTCACCCCTGAGGACTTAGATGAAATGCCTAGATTCCAGTAGAACGGGGCTCCAGTTTTCTACACTCACCATACGAAACACAGCAGCATTAATCTGTTATTTTACGCTTGTATTCTGTGAGAGCGTGGTCCTTCCCCGGTCGAGCCGACCCATTCGTGCTACAACCATAAAATAGCTGCAGCGTGGCTCTACCACGTTTAAAAAGTTTCACGTTACTTTTAAAGAATGAACACAATAATATATTGTTTCATGTAATAAAAGAAGAATATTGTTCTTCTTCTTCTACTACTTCATCAACCCATAAAAGTTCACCTCGGAAGTGAACATCGGTCTATCTCATTGTAGGGACTTGTCTTAAAGGTAACGCTTGGCAGACGAAGTTCTGATCGCAGTGCTTCACGTCTCGCGCCGTTGAGGCTGCTGTAGGTCGCCGATGTGTGATTTTTACGTCAAATGCAAACGTGACGCGTGGATAGGAAGTCGTAAGATTGTTCTGGTATTTTCCATTTTTTTATAGGATAGGCTGACATACGAGCACACAGTCCACCTGATGATAAGTGGTTGCTGTGGCCCATAGACATCTACATCTATCCTCGATTACGAATCAAAATGCAGATTCGTTATCACCCATGATAACTTAGATGGAATGCCTCGTTTCCAGTAAAAAGGTTCTCCGGTTCTCTACTCACCATACGAAACACAGCAGCATTAAGCTACTATTTGACGCTGGTATTCTGTGAGAGCGTGGTCCTTCCTCGGTCGAGCCGACACATTCCTCATTTTACAACGAGACAAAATAAGGTGATGAATTCTCTGACTCCGCCACCACGGACCACAGCCAAATATATTCGCTTGCTCATCTTTAAAAGGATGCTGAAGCAAAGCAGGCGTATTTTATTATGATCTAAACATAACATCAATTATTCACATTCATTTGCATTACGAGTCAAGTTAGACCAGTGATAGGGCGCAAACGCTACCGACGCGCTGATAATTTTATTATGATCTAAACATAACATCAATTATTCACATTCATTTGCATTACGAGTCAAGTTAGACCAATGATAGGGCGCAAACGCTACCGACGCGCTGATAATTTTATTATGATCTAAACATAACATCAATTATTCACATTCATTTGCATTACGAGTCAAGTTAGACCAGTGATAGGGCGCAAACGCTACCGACGCGCTGATAATTTTATTATGATCTAAACATAACATCAATTATTCACATTCATTTGCATTACGAGTCAAGTTAGACCAATGATAGGGCGCAAACGCTACCGACGCGCTGATAATTTTATTATGATCTAAACATAACATCAATTATTCACATTCATTTGCATTACGAGTCAAGTCAGACCAATGATAGGGCGCAAACGCTACCGACGCGCTGATAATTTTATTATGATCTAAACATAACATCAATTATTCACATTCATTTGCATTACGAGTCAAGTTAGACCAATGATAGGGCGCAAACGCTACCGACGCGCTGATAATTTTATTATGATCTAAACATAACATCAATTATTCACATTCATTTGCATTACGAGTCAAGTTAGACCAATGATAGGGCGCAAACGCTACCGACGCGCTGATAATTTTATTATGATCTAAACATAACATCAATTATTCACATTCATTTGCATTACGAGTCAAGTTAGACCAACGATAGGGCGCAAACGCTACCGACGCGCTGATAATTATCCCGCGATGATTAGCGCGTGCCGATGACGATGGTGACGACACGCGATGACACAGAGGGCGTCTGTTTCCGGTGACGTAACATCCGCGCACTTCCGGCAGGATATGAGAGGGAGTCACGAGATCTACTTATGCCCTTCCGTTAGGTTTGCGGTAAACTAAGTCGAATGATGGGAAATTGCAAGAACAAAACAATAGCATTACCACTGATGACAATTTTTATGAGAAATAGATAAAAGTCCAAAACATTACAAGAAAGAAAGAAAGAACAAAGAATAATGCATTATAATATTAAAACCTCTATTAACTTCTTAATACAAAGAAGCATTTAATACTTATTACCATATTTTTTTGGTAAATATCAGTTTTAGAATGACGCTTTTGAAACTACTAATAGTGTTAATTTTGAAGATGACTGAAGTGACTGATATACCCGTTTGTTATTTACCCATTTAGTCAATTTTATTACCAAAGCGTACATAGGTTTCATTTCTATATAAAATTTAGCCGGACCTAATAACAATTTAAATCTGTTTACATTTTTTTTAATATTCCGATCTTTTACTTACATCATAATAAAATTATAAAACAATAAAATTTATTACATACTTATATCGACGTAAAAAATATAGAAAAATTATTTCATAAAAATTGAAATTTCTTAAAAATCTGTTTGGACACTAAACTAGATTTTTTGCCAAAAAAAAAAAGTCTATCGAATGAATCGCTACACGATTTTACCTTTTAGCTGAGCATGATTTACGGAGTGTAAAAAATAAATAGTGATGCGAAAGAGTAGAATCCTCGCGCGATAGTGGCGCTTCCGTTATTTCCGGAAGAATGCCAATCCACTTGTACGTTCCTTGTAAAAAATAAAGCGTTGCACAAAATCCAAAGGAAACATCTGTTATTCAGCGAGCTTCCTCGAAGCGTTGATTATAAGTTTATTTTAACATTCACGTGCTTACATTTGATATTCATAGCGAGCGAAAAAATTCTTCCTAAATATTACTTTATATAAGTTTATGTTGATAATATGTAAAACGTATGTAGAGTAAATAATTTTAGTTGAAATTAAATTCGTTTTTCTTAATTAGTTTTCCTTAGCTAAATCAATATGTTCGGCTGCATCACCACTTGCCATCAGCTGGGATAGAAGTCATGCACTGGCTTAAAAAAGTTTTAAAAAACTTTCAATGTTGATACAAACTCACAGTATAAGTAGTACAAATTAAATGAATACACCGTTAACCAATTCAATCAATTCCAGTTAATCACTGAGCGATGGAAACGCTCTGATTGTCAACAATTTGGAAGTCAAAAAGAATAGGTAATATTGTAAATTATCATCGGTCAGTAATCGTAATTGATATGTTCCTTATTCTCTTGCAGAGGTATGAAGTAGGCATTATCCCATTAGAGCTTAATAAAGCAATTTATTACAATAATTCAAATTTCGAACATGCGCATATTTCTATCCCCTTCTACTTATCCGACTATCCATTATTTGTCAACAATTTAGAGGCCTCAAATAATAGGTTTTATCGTCAAATAATAGTGTATATTGCATATTATCGGAACATTATTCGTAATTGCAAATTTTACGTGGTAGAGCCACGTTGCAGCTATATTATAGTTGTAGCACGAATGGGTCGGCTCAACCAGGGCAGGACAGAACCACGCTCTCACAGAATACCAGCGTAAAATAGCAGCGTAATGCTGCTGTGTTTCATATGGTGAGTGTACAGAACCGGAGACCCTTTTTACTGGAATCGAGGCATTCCATCTCAGTCCTCAGGGGTGACAACGCATCTGCATTTTGATTGTC